TGTTTAGGGATTTCCTTTTGATTTGTATGGATGAAATAGTTGATTTTCCTAGGGTTTGATCATCTTGAATTTGATAGAAATTTGAGATCTTTTAGATTTAGGTTTTTCTTCGGGCTCTAGCGGCGTATAGAGATTTGGGAGAGATCGATCCTCCTCTCGAATTGAGTATCAATTGTATCTTTGCTGTTTTATTCATCTACTAGTGAAATGCAAGCGTTTCTTTGAGTTTTCTATCAGATTTTCCATGGATTAGTGTTGTTTTTCTGCTGTCAACAACAGAAATCTGTTGTTTTCTGTTCTGGACAGCAACATTTTCACTGTTTGTTCACCGATTTGGGTTAGGATTGCTTGTGAACTCAAGTATTACCTTAGGGTTACTTGCGAACTCAAGTATTTCCTATAAATTTGGTATTAGAGCATCGATTTGGGGACCTTAGGCGGCTGAAATCCTGATTTTTCAGCGAGCTTTTGGCTTCCGGAAGTGATATTTTTGAGATCCGTTGGGAAGAAAGATGGCCGGAAAGAAGGTTGACGTCTTGGAAGGCGAAGTCGGCCAATTGAAAGCCGATTTAGAGGAAAGATTATGCAACATTCAAAATCAAATCACCTCCAACAATGAAAGGTTGGAGGGGAAGTTCACCGCGATGGAGGAAATGATGAAAAAACTACTTGAAATGAAGACCAATCCGGCGACATCGGAAGTAAGGGAGACTACCGACGGCCATGACATGAGAGGAAATCTGAACCCCTTGAGGGGGAGGAGAAATTCGGAGGTGTAGATCCTGGAGGAGGAAAACGAGATGCCCCCTCTAGAACTGCTTTCTAAAGAGGAGATGAGTAGGGGATACGACCAACGGGAGGCTGATTTGGTCAGAAGGAGGGAAGAATTCAATCGTCGAGGTGCTGAATTTGAAAGAATCCAGCATCGAGGTACTGAATTTGAAGGGGGAAGGGAAGAAATTCATCGCCGAGGTGCTGAATTCGAAAGAATTCAGCGTCGAGGGGGTGATTTTGAAGGAAGAAGGGAGGAACGTCATCGTCGAGGTGCTGAATCTGAAGGAATTCAGCGTCGAGGTGATGATTTCGAAGGAAGAAGAGGTGAGTATGAAGAGGGATTCGAATATAATCGTCGGAGGGATGATCGGGACACTTGGGGGACTTCCCCTTCGAGGAATGAGAGGTTATTACCGGGGAAATGGAGGAGACCCACGGGTGAGGAAGCTAAAAATGCCCGTCTTTGAGGGCGAAGATGGCCATGGTTTTATTCATCTACTAGTGAAATACAAGCGTTTCTTTGAGTTTTCTATCAGATTTTCCCTGTATTAGTGTTGTTTTTCTGCTGTCAACAGCAGAAATCTGCTGTTTTCTGTTCTGGACAGCAACATTTTCACTGTTTGTTCACCGATTTGGGTTAGGATTGCTTGCGAACTCAAGTATTTCCTATCACACCTCTACCTATATGATCTATTGGGAAGAACAGCCAAACTAACATCAACATGTATAAGGAAAATTTGATTTGTCAGTCATCAGCATAGCAGTAGAACACCTTCTGTGCCACACATTTTATAATGTTCCATTCATCAATTTCATGATGAATGATATTTTTTTTTATCAATATGAAATGCTGTCTGCAAAGTATTCATTTCATTATGTGTTTAGATCTCTCTAAAGTTCCATATCAAATTCAAGCTCAGGACTACAAATTGTATTTATTGTTTAATGCTGACTATTTTGAATGGTTTCATGTCGTTGTGATGTTCATTGACAGGGCTAATGCTCAGCAGCCAAAACTCTTTGTAGGCATGATTCTTATTCTTATTTTTGCTGAAGCTCTTGCCCTCTACGGTCTCATTGTCGGCATCATTCTCTCTTCTCGGGCTGGTCAATCTCGTGCAGATTAAGAGAACACAAGTTTGTTGGCCTTACCTTACTTTCTCTTGATGCTATTTATGTTGAAAGAGCTAGTAGTTATTTTGATCAAATATCATGTTTTCTTTTGGCTGTATTCTTGCGTAATATCAAGAGTGATTCCTGCTTTGTGATCTATCATCTGTAATGCTTTATTGATTGATAATGTTATTTAGAGCTGCTTGTCTGCTTGTTGTTTGTCTTTTGGAGCGTCATTATCGAATAAAACTCTTGAATAATACATTTGAAAATTTTATCAATAAAAGAGTTGTAGCATTGTTTTGATAGTAGTAACCAAGTTTTGTGATTTTGTTATAATGTTTCAATCACAGTTCATACTATTTTAATTTATCAGTTGATTGTTTCTCTAATGTTTACTGTGATGAAACAAACTATATCCATGGGTTTGGCTCTTGAGTTGAATGGTTAAAATATCATGAGATATGGGAGATTTCCGTTTCAATTCTCTTCCTTCCAATGCATTACGACTGAAATGTTACTAGCTCTCTGTTGTTAATCTAGATCTTCTAGTTAGTTGGATTAGTTAATTTAAAAGATTGTAACTAATTAAGAGTGTATCTAGCTATAAAGTTAGTTACTAATGCATATATTGTAATGTCACACCTTGGGCCCGGAAGGCGGTATGCCTCGGCAATTAAGGGATAAAGAATCCTGTTTTGTATTCACAAAGAGAACATGTCTATACAAGAGTTACACCAAGCAAGGCTGCTAAGAGGGAGAAAAGAGGAGAATAAGCGATGCCCTAGCTTCCTATTTGATTAAATGGCAAGAGGGAAGGTTGGGATCGGGAAAATATTGAACAAGGTGGATGAATCATGTTATTTACACGATTGGAAAGGAGATGAGAAGCGAAAAGGTTGCTGCAGTGCGGCTGGTCGCGATCCGGGCGAAGGAGCGGGAGGGGGTTGGTTCGTGCAGCTCCGATTCGTCAAATTGACACTCCTGGACCGGCCAGTCCCGGCATAGATTTACCTGTAGTACTTTACACGGATTGCCTCAAGAAACACCTGCCACATCCCTTTGCAAAATCTGCCCTATTAGTCTTCATTTGAGACCATTTTTTATCACTATTGTTTTGCCACTTTTAAAAAAATTTTGGACTAAAAAGTTATTGTAGAAAGCAATACAAAAGTTGCCCCTAACGAAACCTTAGTTCTCAATATAATCGAGTGGTCTTCGACATCCTACCCAACCCAATATTAAAGGAAATTTGAGAGGAGAAAAAGAGGAAGAAAGAAAGAGGAGATGTTACAGTCGAAATTTTGTTATCATAATGCATGGGAGATGAAGAGTCATGAGAGATTTCAAATGTTAACTGATGATTATGGTCAATTCAACAAGTAATCCTAAATGTAAAAATAAGAAACATAACTTTTGTATTATAAAAAGCGAATCCTTGGTTACGTAAGTGTATGCTAGTCGCCAATGCTCTCTTAAAAATCCACAGCTGAACATTAAGGTTATGTTTGGGATAGTTTTCTTATTGTTTTATTAAATAAATAGTTGTTTTGAAAGCAATACAAAAATTGTCTCAAATGAAGCCTAATAGACTTGTAATAAAATTTAACTCAACAGAATTGGAGATGGACCCTTGATATCAGAATTAGGAATAAAGCAACATCTTATGAATTCAGTGTCGCTAGAAACTCTGTTTATGAAATAAAATTGCCATTGACTAGTTTCTTCATAACAAGTATTAGCTAATTTAAATCATTAGTGAACCAGTAGTACATGGGATGGCATATCTTTTAATTCTCGAGTTTAAGATTTATAAACCTATTTGACTTAGGTTTCATTTGGGACGGCTTTCTTACAGTTTCTTAGAGCAACTTTTTAGGCTTTGTTTCGGACGACTTTCTTTTTGCTTCTTAAAGCAGCTTTTTAGTACAAAATTAAAAAACTGTTGTAGAAAGAAAGCCATCCTAAACGAAACCTTAGTCTACTTTAAGAAACAGTAAGAAAATCATCACAAATGAAATCTTAAATAAACTTGATAATTAATTAAACTTAACAACAATACTCTTAACAATCTTAATAATTAATAATTGAAAGGGAGAAATTATTCTGTGCGAAGACCGGATGCAAAACGTTGTCCGGAGACCAACCACAATGCGCCACGTCAGCAGTATCGAGCAGCGGTACCTAGCGAAGGGTGACGTGGAGCATTCTGATTGGTCTCCGGATGGTATTCGGCGTCCGCACATAATAATTAATCATTGAAAGGAATAGGAGCATGTCAATGAGAAGAGGAGTTTGAGATGAAGCTTGCTAGGTTAAGACTTGTCTTGGGATGATTTTCTCACTGCTTCTTAAAGTAAATTTTTAGTACATTTTTTTTAATAATTTTTGTACTAAAAAATAATGAGAAAGTTAGCCTACACAAAACATAAGTCATCAACTAGATTGGTGGCTTGTGTGGGGGCAAGCATCAATGAGACCGTCATGAAATGAATTATCAATTCAAATTTGATAAGATTCAAACCAATTTTGCATATGTGAAATGATGAAAGATTGAATTGCTTTCAAACTTATGATGAAAAATCGCTGATAATGATGAAAGATTCAAATAAGGTTCAAACCAATTTTGATTAATTTGAATTTGAATTGCTTTAACTTATCTTAACTTTTAAAAAAAATATAAGACATTGCTATAAATTTTGTATATGTAAATCTCATGTGAGACGAGAAAAAAATTAAAATGTAGAAAATAAATAAATAAATCGAACAAAAAACAGTTATATTTTAATAAATGCTTAGTAATTAAATTTTTTTTTTCTTTGAAAATATTTATATAATCTCCATATACTTTTTAAACATGCATTTATTATCTTGTACTTCAGACCCAAATTTGTTATTTAATTATTCTAATCAATAATTTAAATCAAATGATTCATTTACTTTGTAATTCATATGTATTTTTATAACACATTATGTTGAAAATTTTAATTTTATGTACCATAATGTATATGTTTGAATAAATATGTAATTTATATTTTTATTTAAATAAATATAATTAAAAGTTTATATTAATTATTTTATACATTTTATTTTTTAATTCTATTATGCTGCAAGGGAGGGGTTGAGACAAATAGAGAGAGAAAGCGAGAGGGCGAAGGGGCGAGAGTGGAGTAAGATCACGGGAGCTGTAGGCAGCCGAAGCCATGGAAGCACCTGCGATTATTTGGAATGAAAATATGCAGAGGTTCGAGACAGAAGACAAGGCGGCCTTTCTCGAGTATCGGCTCATACGCCCAGCGGCCGCCGCCGATCGCAAAGGCGAAGTTAGTGCCGAATCGCCTTCTGTTGAGGAAGAGGGAAAGGGGGATAGGACGGTGATGGACATGTTGCACACCTTCGTGCCAAGGAGCAAAAGGGGGATGGGTCTCGCCAAACACCTCTGCGTTGCCGCCTTCTCCCATGCCCAGAGCCGCTCCATGCTCGTTATACCCACCTGTTCCTACATCTCGGTGATCCCTCGTTCTCTTAATTTCTTATTAGACACCTTGTCGAGCACCTTATGGGCACCACTTGTCTCACTTGTCTTCTCGTGAAAAAACCTCAAATAGGGCGTTTGCATAGTTTTTTTATTATGTTAATTCTCGATTAAGCTTATTTTTCTTGAGGTGGAGTTTCCCTGCATTTTTTCCCTTGGCAGGATACTTTTCTGCCACAGAATCCTTCTTGGAGCCCACTTGTCTACAATGAAGAGTTTAGATCTTCGATGTAAAGTAAGTTCAATCTGCACTTCTTGTGAGAGTAATTTTTATTCATAGCGGCATTGGAGAAATTACCCATTTATTATTATTTTATTGAATCAATGGTGGCTGAACGACTCCTTATACATACCTTAAATTTCTCATTTATATTGAAATAATGTGTTTAATGCTCGCTTGTTTCCGAGGATCATGGCTGATAATACTTTTTCTATTTTTTCTGTATCTCGATAGGTGGCGGATTTTCGGTCCAGAGAATCATTTATTATACAATACAATTTTCGCAAATCTTGAAATTTGAATCTTTGCTTTAATAAATTATCCCTTTGATTTCAGTCTTTGAAGTAGCTCGAACGTCCATGCTAGGTTGTTCTACCGATGAATTGCTGTCCTCTTAGGGCATTGCTCTAGCTTGATGTGTCTCCTAGGTTGAAGAATATTGCCAATGAAGTGGGATAGACAAATCAAAGAATCACGGAATGCTGCTGTTTTTCCCCTTTAAGTAATAGAAAATGTTGAAATTAGTCAAATGTTCTTATATGATTGCATAAACCAGTATCTTCCTCTAAGAAATTCCTTACAACCAGACATGTATGCTTGATTTTGTGGTTTATCCTTGATATGTCATCAAACAATTTTTATGATCGGTCATGAATCTCGAGACAAATTTAAATTGGAAACTTTCAAAATTAAATCTGAGACCGTCTGAACTCTGATTTTAGCAAACTTATAATCAAATTAAAGTCTTGAAAAGACGAATTCAACAACACCAAATTCGACCCAATCCGAGCTCAAATGGGTCCAAATCAAGGACATGAAGCACATTTAGAAGGTTTCAAAGTATAAATTGGATGACCAAATGATATCCAAATGTGACATGCTTGTAGTCGAATCGAGTGACTCTACGAGACGAATCCAATGAGCTCAAGATCGCCGAATTCTAGCATTATTAAAGCACTTAAATATTCGATAAACGGTCTATGATCAAAGGAGTCGATATCGGACGTCCATTTGAAATACTCCAACATGCCCTTGATCTTCTCCCTTTTTATTGGTCATGCCACTCCTAAAAAATTATAAATAGACCTCTCATTCTTCACTGAAGAGGGGGACTAAGCAAGAAGAAAAGAAGAAAGGAAATGGAGAAAAATCTGAGATCTCTTTTGCCATCAAGCTCCTCCTCGACCACCGCCCGACCATTGATTGTCGTCGCACTTCTGCCTGACCACCGACTATCATCGGACTTTCCCCCGACTACCGACCGTTGCCGGACATTTGCCTGGACACCAACATCGTCTGCCGACTACGGTCCTTCCGACCTTCATTGCCAGAAAACGAACCTTCCAACCATTGTCGCCCGACTATGGTCTTTCTAACCTTCGTCGCCAGCTGACTACGGTCCTTCTGACCACCATCGCCTGACTAAAGTCTATCCAACCTCTGTTGCTTGTCGACTACGATCCTTCTAACCACCATCATTGATTACAGTCTTTTTGACCTCTGTCGCTTACCGACTATGGTCATTCTAAGTTCTAACCACCGTCATCCTACTATGATACTTCTAACCACCGTTCTTGACTATTGTCCTTCCGACAACTGTCGTCCAACTATGGTTCTTCGAACCTCGGTCGCCCGCCGACAACGATCCTTCCGATCATTGTCACCCAATTACGATCTTTCTGACATCAATCGTCTGCCGACTATGGTCTCTCTGACCACCATTACCTGACTAAGGTCCTTCCAACCACCGTTGTCTGACTACGGTCTTTCCAACCTCCCTCGCCTGCTGACTACGGTCTCTCCGACTATCATCTTTAGACTATGGTCTCCCCGACCACCGTTGCCCGAATACAATTCCTCCGACCCCCGTCACCCACCGATTATAATCCTAACCCTTTTTTTCCCACTTTCCCTTATAAAATAAAAAAGCACTAAACCATTTATTTTCTTGCAAACCTATTTATTTTCAATTATTAAATATAAAAAATAGGTATATTTACATACATAACACAAAATTTGTATGTACTTACATAACAAACATATAAATCTTTATATTTATTTATATAACTATCAAACTTTCAAATCATATAAGAAATATTACTGATGTTAAATTATATTTTTCATGCATATGCATTGATGTGATTTGAAAAATAAAGTTGTATTTCAATATTTATAAATATTTGTGTTTTAGAATTATATCAATCCATAAGAATTTTTATGTAGGTATATAAATCCCTCAAGAATTGAGGCAACTTGTCACATTAGACAAGTTCCCTCATACAACAAAATATAAAAAAAGGCCAAACTCATTGGATAAAAAGGAGAGATACTTGTAAATATATTATGATATGGGCTTCAAAGTCATTAGATTTATGTTAAAATTAATCTGATTTTTAATATCATAAGATATCACTAATCTTAAAGTAAATTTAAGACCTCTAAAGCCCATTCTAAGGTAAAACATGTTAGAATAATCTCATGAAATTTTCTTTCTTTCTTTAATACTTGCAAGAAAGTAAGCTCATTTAAAAATAGATTCAAATTAGGATATTTTATTTTTTTTTCTAATTAAATATAATTAAATTCTACGATGCAATTTTTAAGTATTAATTTTGATTAAAAAAAGGATCATTTTGTAAAAAAGTGTTAGATATTGTGGAAGTTTTAAATTTAAATCTCATTTACATTTAAATTATACAGCGGGCTTGTTGTGTGATATTGTTTAGAGTGATGATGAAATAGATGAGGATATTATTAATAGAATTCAAATTGAATGGTTGAAGTGGAGGAATGCAGCAGGCTTGTTGTGTGATAGAAAGTACTACTCAAACTTAAGAGAAATTTCTTTAAGATGGTAGTGATACATGCAATGCTTTTATGGTGCAAAGTGTTGACCATTAAAAGAGAAGAATAATATTAAGTTAAGTGTTGTAGAGATGAGGATGCTTCGATGGATGAGTGACTTTACTCTTAGAGTGAGGATACAATGTGAAAAGGTTAGAGTAGCTCCAGTAGAAGATAAGATTAAAGAAAGTCTCCTTTAGATGGTTTGATCACATAAAATTAGGGCTGTCAAAATCGGGTCATGGTTCGGTTCGGGTCCAACCTGGAACTGATCTGACATTATTCGACCCGACCTATTTTTGCAAACGGGTTGGTTTTTTGAACCCGAACTCAACCCGCTTCTGGTATGTTTTACTAATTTTTTTTATTTAATTCGATTTATTTAAACCTAAATCAAATTAAGGTAAGATTTACTTCAATAAATTTAAAATAAATCAATCTTAATTCAATTTGGACAACATGATTTATTATTTTTTGGAAATAAAATTTACTTATTTCATAAAAATCTTTTAAAACCCTCTTAAATTAATTAAAAATGGGTCAAACCCGAACTCGTGCTCCGGCTGACTCTTCCACCTTGTCCTTAAGATAGAATGCAGGGAACTACTGCTGCATGGTCTGGTAGGACTCCCATATGGCCTCGTGCTCTGGCTGAACCTTCCACCTGACAAAGACTTCCTAGCTTCCTTTTACTCCCGGTTGCACTCCTGCGACATCTAGTGGTTCCAACAACACCTTCATGTCCTCTGTCAAGGTTGGGGGAAGTGTCGAGGGAGGAATGTGCTCTCATATTACTCGTCACAATTGGGACACATGAAATATTGGATGGATGGTTGCCGATAGTGGTAGCTGTAGGCGATGAGCCATGACCCCTATACGCTCTACAATCTCATAGGGTCTAAAATATATTTAGGGGGGGGGGGATAACTTATCATTCCTTCTTCATGCCAGGATTTTCTATTTGTAGGGGCGAAGCTTTAAGTAAATCTTGTTTCCCACCTCAAATTGTATGTCTCACCTATGTGTATTTTCCGTCTTCTTCATAATTTGTTAAGCCCTCAACAAATGTACCTTTAGCTCCCCCAAGTTCTTGTCTCTGTCCTCCAAGTATTGTTCTACCGAAGCCACCGCTGTACCGCCTTGATCATAATATATTAAGCGAGGCGGATCTCGTCCGTATAACACTTTGAACGGTGTAGTCTGCGCCGCTGAATGATAAGACATATTATTCCAATACTTTGCCCTAGCCAACCATTTGGCCCACAACTTGGGTGTATCTGATATAAAGCACCGCAAATAGGTCTCCACACTACGATTGACTACCTCTATCTGCCCGTCCGTCTGAGGATGATAAACAACACTTCTTTTTAGGGCCGTTCCCTGCATTTTGAATAATTCCTTCCAGACTGGCTTAGAAAAATCTTGCACTAATCTAATATAATTGCTTCTGACATTCCATGAAGTTTTAAGTAAATCTTGTTTCCAGGATTTTATATTTGTAGGGGCGAAGCTTTAAGTAAATCTTGTTTCCCACCTCAAATTGTATGTCTCACCTATGTGTATTTTCCTTCTTCTTCATAATTTGTTAAGCCCTCAACAAATGTACCTTAAGCTCCCCCAAGTTCTTGTCTCTGTCCTCCAAGTATTTTTCTACCGAAGCCACCGCTGTACCGCCTTGCTCGTAATATATTAAGCGAGGCGGATCTCGTTCGTACAACACTTTGAACGGTGTAGTCTGCGCCGCTGAATAATAAGACATATTATACCAATACTTTGCCCTAGCCAACCATTTGGCCCACAACTTGGGTGTATCTGATATAAAGCACCGCAAATAGATCTCCACACTACGATTGACTACCTCTATCTGCCCGTCCGTCTGAGGATGATAAACAACACTTCTTTTTAGGGTCGTTCCCTGCATTTTGAATAATTCCTTCCAGACTGGCTTAGAAAAATCTTGTACCAATCTAATATAATTGCTTCCAAGTGTTTAAAATTGCGTATTCGGGTATTGAGGCGTTTTTCATTCATGAGGCGAGGCGTAAGCCTCAAGGCATTTTGAGGCATAAGCCTCAAAATCAAAAGATTGCGTAAATATAAAATGATAAATTTTTTATATATTAATGAGTGAATAATATAAAACATAAAAAAATATAAGATATGAAGTGAAA